TTTTTCACCAAGATGCAAATGGATTCAAACAAAACTTGAAACATGAAAGTTGTATTCCATTGCAAAATCTACAACTTTTATTCACAAAGTTTTCTCAAAGGAAGCTTGTATCTCAAGTTATGATTTTTGGAACAAGGGTGCAAAACATTTTTAACTTAGAGAAATTTTGCCCTATTCTAGGCAGGATTTTTGTCAAACTTCTTGGCCATTTTTCACATGGTTCCACTTGGAGTTTCAATTTGAATTACAAAGATTAATTATAGTACACATTCCAAGCCTTCCAAATTGTCCAAGAACTTCTCAAACACCCTTGTGGTTAGAGAGAATCGAATTTGCAAAGTTGGCCAAAACACACTTTTGTTCATGGCCAAGGCTTGTTCATAACACTTGCATTTTCAAATCAGTTTGTGTATTGCTAGCTTGCAGGCCTCAAGACCAAGTTTACACTCCATAATTTAATGCCTAAACATTGTGTTAAGGCATTATTTCATCCATTTGGGCATTACACATAGAATTAACCCTTATTTGGAAAAAGCAAAATTGCCATTTTTGTAAAGTGATACTTTATGTCAAGTTCCAAATCTTTGAGGCAAAGGCAGATCTTTGAGGCCAAACTTTGTACACATATCCCACTTATCAAGGACCAATGCTGCAGCATAGAGGATAGGGTTCACAGGCCTGCATTATCAACTTGAGTTTTCTTACTTCAAAGAGAAGCAACTTTGCAAAACGGATCCAACTTTCATTTCCTACAAACTAGAGCTTAAGAAAACTTTGTGAGCATATTCCATACATCCCAACTGACCTGAAACACGACTCAACCACCCCTCATACCTCCTAATACACCAAAACACCTTCTTGCTGCAGAAACAGGGCATCCCCTGCAACTTGAGTTCCATAACCAATTCCTGTCGTGCGTTTTGGCCAAAAGGAGTTCAAACACATTCCATTCCATCCACCTGAACTATTCCAAGCCTTAAACTCAAGTTGTAACACCTCTAACCCTACTTGCCATTTTTACTTTCAAGCTGTGCAGGTGGACTTCCATAGTACGATACAGGTGGTTTCAAAGCAAGCTAGGCATTTGGGAAGCATCCTTGGACTTCAGGCAAGCTCAACCAAAGCCCAAACTCCATTGAAGGTTGCTACATTGCTCTGTTTAAGTCAAGCTGAAACAGGTAATCTATGGACTTCTATCTCTCTATCCAGGCATGATTAAGCTTAGGTTTGTGAATGAAACATGTTCTACTCATAGCCCTGAAGCCATACATGTGTTCACTTTTCTTTTATATTAAGCATGCTGTGAGAATTTTAGCCTTGAACATTGAAGAAAAACTAGGTCAGAAATTGGGGGTGAAGAAATTCTCCCTGGTTTCTTAGAGTTAGGTCAAGTTTTTTACATGTTTGGAATCGTGGTTTGATGCTCTACATTGTTTGTGTTATGAGTTTTTGCTAAAAATCAAGGAATCGGGAGTTTGTATTTTGAAAGGAGAGGCGCGCGTTTGACAATGCTGAAGGTTGAAGATGACTGGCTTGGGCTGGGCCTGAGTCAGTCTTGCTGTTTACACTCTTTTTTTCCATTTGCACCCCCCTGGCCCATTATGTGAAATACTTGTCATTTTTGCATTTTTCTTTTTGATTCTGATTTTATATTTTTTGCTCAAGCATAAAAAACACCAAAAATATTTTTCCATATTTTTTTACATTTATTTGGCATTTATTTGCTTTATTAGAATATATACATGTAAATAATATAAAAACCTTTTTATTTAAAACCCTAAAAAATAATACAAAAATATTTATTTTTTTTAGTTATTATTTTTTATTTACATTTTGAAAACATTTTCTTAAATATACATTTTTGTAAATAATTAATATTTTATTTTTTGTACATATTTAGCATATTTAATATATAATATATAAATACTTGTATATTTTATTTTATTAAATAATTAGGACAAAAATATAGAAATAATACATTTTTATTTTTATTTAATATTTGACACTAAAATACTTTTTTCTACAATATACTTCTTTTTTATTATTTTTGTATAAATTAATATGTTTTGTACATAATCAATAAATAATACTATTTACTTGAAAATTAGGGTTTTGCCCTAAACAACAAAAATAATCAAAAATTTGACTCTTTTATTTTGTTTATACTTCAAACATGAAAACCTTTTTCACATACATAAAAAATTCTTTTTTTGCATAATACATTGCATTTTGATATTTACTTAAATTGTATTTATTTAAATGTTAAATATTTGTATATTCGATATGGTTGTAATAATTTAGATTTTATTTCCTTGTCAAATATCCCCCAAATCCAAATTTGTACCCCCCTCCCTATATCATGTTGTAATAGCTTAGCCTTTAAATTTTCGCATTTAAAAGCTTTCAATTATGCCATGCTTAGACTTAGGGTTTGTATGCAAAATCAATCAACAAATAGTTTGACCTAATTCAAGATAAACATGCATGAAAAACAAACACAATGCACACTCACACCCCTAGGGTTACATCCACTTGTTGCCTTCAAAAATGGGCCATGGTTGCATGTTAAGTGTCTTTGGCAAAACAAAAACAAATCAAATGATCATAGTCCCTCGATGACGCTATCAAGTTGCCTAAAAAAATGATCATAGTCCCTCAAGAAATTTTCCAAAATACTTGACACTATTGCTTTCATGGTCTATATGATGACCGGCGCCCGTCCCGTTAACATCCTAACACAAGGTTGTTCACCAAATACAATGGTGAAACAACACTGTTAAAAGGGTTAAAAACATAAGGAAAGATCTTTGAGTAAAATAGGGTAGAAAACTCTTAGTTACTTGATCAAACTTGCAAAGAAAACATCCTTGCTACTTTTCAAAAACACACCTCACAACACAACTTCAAAACAACTTTAAAAACATTGAAAATCTTTTCAAAAGACAAAAACACCTTTGTATATACTCAAACACGAGTCATTACAAAGGTTGCCACAACAATGGCCTCTTTTCAAAACATCTTTCAAAACCACACACAAAGCACCATTTCAAACAATTGAAAATGCAAAGCAAGTGATCTAAGCAAGTAACTAAGAGCCCATGGATAACCATGGATAGAAAGGGTGCTAATACCTTCCCTTTCTATAATCTACTCCCCGAACCCAAGAAAACATCTCAAAGGGTTTTCCTGTGCTTTTTAACCTTTCCTTAGGATAAAATAAAAAGTCGGTGGCGACTCTTGCTCAACCGAAACATTTGTGAAAACAAATGCAAAACCCAAGTCAGTTCTCCCACCGTATCACAGAACTGGCGACTCTGCTGGGGATTACTTTAAAAGTGGAGTAACCTTAGGGCCTAGATCACCCTTTTGCATGACTAATTGTTTGCTTTGATTGCTTTACATTTTGGTTCTCTTGTTTGGGCTTGAAATCCTCCACCCGGATTTGGGGAAACATTCATAGATAGCAATACGTTGTGGAAATTGTGCGGGGTATACCGACACGGTTGAAGCAATATCTATATTAGTGCGACATATTTGTGAGTACCGGTAACCCTTGAGTTCAATCAAGGAGAGTACGGGGCCGCTGAGTGATGTCACTAAGCACTAATGACCTATAACCTTACTTGACCATCTTGGCCTTTTATTAGGGGTAGTGAGATAACCGGCTTTGGTGCAGTCCGAAGTTGGTAGATACTCGATACTACACTCATTGAGGGTTGTTTTCTTGGAATATTTTGGTCGCTAGTTAAGTGGCTAAACCAAAACAATGAACATGGAAAACAATCCAATGATATTGAGCTCCTTAGAACCCGATTACTATTTATAGGACAGTTTTTTAAGCCAACTACACTCAAGAGGGTACTTACCTATGAAACCTCATGCAAGCCTGAAACTAGGGTTTTGTGTGAATTGCTTGTACATGTGTTTGTGCATACATCATGAACATCATAAAGCATCATATGCATCCACTAACCATTTCAAGGGTTTGGATCTTTATCTTTGTTCTTGTTTTGTAGGTCATGGAAACTCTTCGCAGGAAAACTATCCAAGTCAACCTTGTGAGAATCCCTCCTCAACTCAAGGAGCTTACATCCATAATTCCAGAAAGTTCTCTCTTCAGTGAAAGACATGGTAGACTTCTCAACCTAGTCAACACCAGCATTGAATAAGACATGGTGAAAGTGTTGTTCCAATTCTTTGACCCCCTTCACCACTGTTTCACATTCCCCGACTACCAATTGGTGCCTACTTTGGAGGAATTTTCTCAACTCCTGAGAATTCCTATTCTTAATCAACTACCCTACAACGGTACGGAAAAAGAACCAAAACCTGAAGATGTTGCACAAGCACTACACTTACAACCATCTTACATCAAGGGGCATTGGGAAACCAGAAGTGGTGTCAAGGGCTTCTTGGTAAAGTTCTTGTTTGAGAAGGCACAAGAGTGTTGGAATTCTTTGGATCTGCGAGCCTTTGAAGAGATTGTGGCACTCATCATTTATGGGTTGGTCTTGTTCCCAAATCCTGACCAACTTATAGATGTGAATGCTGTCAAGATTTTCATGTCCAAGAATCCCATACCTACATTGCTAGGGGATATCCTCCACTCATTTTACACACGAAAAATGAGGAAGAGAGGTGTCCTCATGTGCTGTACTCCTCTCCTTGCAAGGTGGTTTATTTCTCACCTTCCACAATTAGTTTTGAAGAATGAACAAGGCTTAAGGTGGTCACAACGATTGATGACCCTCACACATTCTGATGTACATTGGTATTCTCGGTCCAGAGAAAATGTCATCATCGTCGATCATTGTGGTGAGTTCCCTAATGTTCCATTACTTGGCATTAGGGGAGGCATTACCTACAACCCCTGTCTAGCTTTAAGGCAATTTGGATACGCTCGGAGGGATGGCCCTCATGACATGCTGGTTCCTGACCTAGTTTTTGACTTTGACAACGATGCGCAAGGACTTCGCCAAAGATTCATCAGAGCTTGGAAGATGCCTAACAAGGTAGATAGCAAGACACTGGGACAGAAGAACTCCATCCCTCTTGAGCCTTACCTCAAGTGGGTACGAACCCGCGCCTAGAGTCTTATGATGCCTTACCCTCACATTCTCCCTTTGATCAAAGAGCCTGTTAAGGAAGGAGAGGTTTCATACACCATCCTACATCCTGACATGCCAACATCATGGGAGGAAATGCAGAAGAGTTGGATCCAACTCAAGGAAGAAAGGGATACTTTTGAAGCCAGCTTCTACGCCAGTGAGAAGAAGGTTTTGGAGCTTACCCGCCGACTTCACGAGGAGGAGACCCTCAACACTTACATCGCACCAAAGAGGATGCGCAACATCTTTTTACCTTAAGAAGTTTTTGTAATATTTGGCCCATGGGGCATTTATGTACTGACAAAATTTCTTCTTATTAATATGACGTGTGTTCTTTTTGTCTACAACAATTTTGAATTTCTAAATCCTTGAATGCATTACATGAATAAACATATCATTCATCATATGCATAAACAGGTCTTCACACCAGGGTTCCTTATCTTTCTGCTGTTTATTTCAGTAAGATGGATATTGAGCAGACGGCCACTACGCCAAAAATGATTTTTTGTATCACCTAATTTAATAGAACTTTAAAAAAAATGCTATTAAAATGGAAAAAACACATTTATAATAGCACTTTTTAATCGGGCGCTATTATATAATACAGACTATGTAATTTTGATAGCACTTTGTACCAGAACGCTATTATTAAACTTCTTTAAGATAGCATTTTGTATAAAACGCTATTATTTGACTACCTATATAATAGCATTTATTAAAAAGCGCTATGTTATATATAATAATGAATTAATTAATTAATTGATAAAAAAAAAAAACAAAACACAATTAATCGATTCTTCTTTTCAATCCAAGCAGTACGGCGTCGCCGAACTCAAAACCCTAGGTAACGAACTACTCTCATCAGCCTCTAACATCAACAACCTCCCCCTTCTTCTCACCTTCGTCTCACCTTCTTCTCCACCTCAACACGTCCTCGAATCGCTTCTCTCTCTTCATTCTTTCTTCCTCCCTCTCCTCCCTCAACTACCTTCCTCCTCTGCCACTGCCAACACCTCCTCCTCCGACAACGCCGATGCCGACCAGTCTGAGTTCATTTACCTCACTTGGCTTCGTTCGAAGTTCGATGAGTTTCTTAAATCTCTGATAGATGTTCTTGTATCGGATCAATCTGATGAAACTCTGAAGGAAGTTGTGTTGGATACGTTGATGGAGTTTGTGAAGGTTGCTAATGGCGGCACCTTTCATTCTTCGTTGTATAACAGAATTATCAGTAGTATTGTAAGTTTCTCATTCTAATCGTAATTCTACTTTGTTATTTTTGTGCTCATAGTTTGATATATGATATTTTTGTTTTGTTTTGCTTCATCAGATTCACTCTGCTAGTTCTGCTGAATTTTTGATTGATTTACTAACATCAAAGTATTTCAAGTATATTGATGTCAGGTATGATTAATGAAGGGTTTTTCTTTGCAAGTTAAATTGATTCGTTTACTCTGTTTTATGAGTTTTTAACTATTGTTTAATTCTTGATTGCTGAACTATTTTGTCACTCGATGTAGTTATTTTACATTCATAAGTCTAGAAAAGCTAGCTAGAAATTTGCAGGGGAAAGATGTTTCAGGTGATTTTCTAACATAGCTTTTATAACAACAAATAACCATATTCTCCTTGTGTTATTCTGTTTTCATGGAGTGTAACGAACTGTTGTTTTTCGATTTTGATTTTGATGTTGTGCTTGCAGCATTTGAGAAACTTGGACTTGATTGTGCGAGCTGGAGCGAACCTGTCTATTCAGATCTTTTAAGGTTTTTTTTTGGTTATTTGTTGTTATATTATTTTCTTGCCTGTGCATATGTTCTAATGGAAAAGGTGATGATGGTACACTTAGATTTCATGAGTTCTTGTAATCAATGCATTGAATTTCAATGAAGTCTCAGTTTGGTAAGGACTTGGAATTTCTGCATTCATGCAGTCATGGATCTTAGCTGTAAGATGAACATGATCATCAAAGCACAAGGAGATAAACTGTAGTCAAGTGTGGAAGGCTGCCCGCGTCAATAAGAGCGGGGTGATTGATAATGAGAAGAGTCAGAAGTTGTAAAAATTTAATTGCTATGTTAATTTGTAAAAATGTATATACAGGTAGAAGAGTCAGAAGTTAACAGAATTTTGATAATGACTTGTCTTTCAACTCTCTTCTGAGTTCTGATACTAACTTGGTGCATGTTTTCTTGGAGGCGAACCTATCTCGGTGCTTGATGGAGTTCTTGTTGCTATCAAGGATGAAATAGACTGTTTACCATATCCTACGACAGGTAGTGTTAGCTCGTAAATTCTACTCACTTGATTTGAGCATCTTTAAATGGTGTTTGTCATGTAGGAGGTACAAAGTGGCTGCACAAACAAAGGCCTTGTCTGAATGACGCTTGCTGTGTTAAGCGTTTAAGATTATGCGGCGCCATACTTGTTGGAAAGACTAATATGCATGAACTTGGCGCGGGAACTAGCGGTATAAATCCACATTACGGGTAAGAAACCATGGGTTATATATACTATAGTACTTATATTCACATTTTTGTTACATTTTTCGGTTTCTTGTCTACTAAGCTATATATTAATGATTTGTATTAACAAGAGCTTGGCTTTTTTTATTTACACTCCACAGGGCTTCTAGAAATCCTTATGATGTCAATAGGATAGCAGGAGGTTCTTCTAGTGGATCTGCATCGGTGGTATCTGCAGGTTTGTGTCCTATTGCTCTTGGTGTCGATGGGGGAGGTTCTGTAAGGATGCCTGCAACACTTTGTGGTGTAGTTGGTCTTAAACCGACTTTTGGTCGTATACCTCATGACGGGTGAGTATTCAATTGAAATATACTCGGGGAGGATTGTTATTGTCACGGTGTAATGATTTAGAATAATGATATTTTGTTACATTCAGAGTTCTTCCTCTAAACTGGACAGTTGGAATGGTTGGAATACTCGCAGGCACGGTCGAGGATTCATTGATCGCGTTAGTAATCGTCCTTACCGTGATTACCATGACTTTTTTCCTCAAGTAAGTTTTAACATTGGTTTCACAGCTTCTAATATTCCAATATTTACAGTTATGCAGCTTCTAATATTCCAATATTTAACATTGGTATCAGCTACCCTTTATATGCTTGGTTCTGTATGCATTTCATCCACTTTGAATTTCAAATATTTTTATTATAAATTTAGATATTGGATATATTATGGTTTTCAATAGAATATCGAACATATAAATTTCAAAGTTATTTATTTATTTTTATATAAAGGTGATCAAACATTTTATATGACCTATGAATATCTTTTGTAGGTCCCAAGCTCTGAAGTATTCTACAGCCTGAATGCTAGTATTGTTGGCTTAGCAGTTGAATCTGAAGGACCTGAAAATTCACCCTGGTGTCTCGGTCTTGGTAGGTAACTTGGCTGACTTCCAAAATGTCTAGTTATATATGAAAAAAAATCTTGGTCTAAAATAAATGTTGATTTCTCAAAGTTTTAAAGAATAGGAATTTTCTTTATTCATCCATAACAGAACACCAATGGATGAAAGAAAGGGTTACTTTAGGGATTCCCATGATGTATGGAGTTCCCTAAGTGGCTAACTGATACTCCAAACAGATTTAACTCCATGAATAAAGTCTGCATCAGTTACAAAATAAGGATATAAGTTTTAGGTGCAGTACAGACAGTCTGTTACAAAAAAAAGCATTCAATTGCTCTCCCTCAAGCTGATGAATAGGTATTTACCATTCCAAGCTGTATACAATATTCTTGAACATGGTACTGCTTGGCCCTTTAGGAAGTACATCGGCAAGTTGACCCTGAGTATCGACCTAGGGAGTACAAAACAGTCCACTTTTCAACTTTTCTTTGATAAAATGTCTATCAACTTCAATATGCTTTGTAATGTCATGCTGCACTAAATTATGAACAATATTGATTGTAGATTTATTATCACAACTTAGTCTCATTGACTGATCCCATGTGATCTTCAAATCCTTGAGGACGATCTTTAGCCAAAGTAGTCACATAGGCATTTTGTGCTGCAGTAATGGTCTCTATATATGTGAGAGCCTAAGGCAAAACAACAACAATTGAGCCTTATCCCACTAAGTGGGGTCTGCCACATGGATCAAATTTCGCCCTAGTGTTCTATCAAGATCATGTTTGTATCCAATTTGTTAATCTCGAGATTATTGTTATTAGTTTATAATAATCATTCCTTATTTTATGCGCTTCTTGTTAGACCCATATTAAATGTTTGATTATTCTTTATATGTTGAATTAGTTTTTATTGTACAATACATAATCAATATTCCTTCTATGATACAAGAAAACAAGAAGCAATTATTTTGCCTAATTAGTGATTGTATCTATGAGTTCAACGCTTTTGGATCATGAAGGTGGTTACTACATGGGATTGTTTTGTTATCCTTTCTTATTTTTTTGGTGTTTTGTTTAGAGAATTTGATTGTATGTTTTTGGATTTGGATTGAAGTACTCATAGATGGGCATCTACAAATTTGGCTATGCAAACGCCCTCTTAATATTCTATATGTTATGATATTTGGAAACAATAGGATTTGGTAATTTAAAATGTTATTTGGTATTTGATGGATCATAATATATATGCAATGAGTAACTTAAAGCGTTATTTGTGTTGAATTGAATATAGTTATTTTATATTTACACCAAAAAAAATGATTGTGTAAGAAAAAATATTGTACTGTACTTATTAAAAATATTGTACCAAATATGTACCATTTATTAGCACTTTATTTGAAAGCGCTATCAAACATATGTTATATATTAGCGCTTTTTGTTTAGAGTGCTATAAAAAAACAAACAAAAAACATGCAAAATACTGACTTTGATAGCACTTTAATTAAAACGCTATTATAAATTGGTACTTTAATAGCGCTTTTAAAGTGCTATTAAATAAGAAATATTTACAATAGTGGCGCGGTTAATAGCACTTTTAAGCGCTATCAAAAACAAAAAAAAAAGCGCTATTAAATAGCTTATTTGGCGTAGTGCGGTCAAAGATCTGCAGGGACAAAACTCGCCGTTTCAACAGCTCCTTATGACCTTGGTGTGATCGGTGGAAATAGAACTGACTGTTTTGGAATGCTGGTTCGCAAAATGTCGCCGTAAGCAAGAGTCGCCACCGTCTTTTATATTCTCCAACAAGGAAAGGACAAAAGCACAGCAAAATTCCTTTTCGAGATGTTTCTCGGTTCGGGAGGTAGATTATAGAAAGGGAAGGTGTTAGCACCCTTTCTATTCGTGGTTATCCACGGGCTCTTAGGTACTTGCTCACTATGTTTTCAAAATTTGTTTGCTTTTCTTGTGTTTGTGGGTTTTGAAAAAGTTTAGTTTGAAAACTTCTAGGTAACTCTTATATCAGTCCTCAAGAGTGTATGAAGTGTTTGTTTGAAAACTTTTTAAAAGTGTGAGTGCGAAAAGTTGTTTTTGTTTTTGAAAGAGCAAGCACCCAGGAGAAATCCACCTACTCTAAGGAATTAAGCTGTGTAAGGGTCCTTTAGACAGTACTATCCCACTATTGAAAAATAGGTAGCACCGTCGTTGGAGTTATTCGGGTCAATTCGATTATAGGGACATGTGTGGTCACCAAAGCAATAGTAGGACGCCTTAGCGGTAACTCTAATGTCCTAGATCCTTTTTTATCCGAGGCAACGGTTTCGAGGCAACTGGATCTTTAGACAAGAGGGCGACCTCTAAAACACCCTATACTCAATGACCACGTCGAGGCAACCAAGTGAGGCGTACCCTAGGAGTGGCATGTGCATGTGTGTCAGGTTTCATGTTTAAATTATCTTTGCACATGTATTATGGTGAGCTACGAGTTGATTTTAATTTCATACAAGTCTTGTCATGCATAGTTAACATTTAGTAATTGTGCGGAAAGTAAATTGCGGAAAGTGAATCTACGCTATTACAAGGCGTCGGGTATTTACATCGCCAAAAACATAACCCTTGAAAATAAATTGCGAGAAAATAAAGGAAAGCGATAAAAGTCCTAATTATATATTACATTCTCGGAGCAGATACATAAATATGATCAAATTAATAACATGCGAAAAGAAACTAAATCGGGGACGTCCTTAGGGTTTTGACCCTTTTTGAGAAAAGAAAGAAATTTGGTCCTTTTTGAAATTAAATTAAATATTAAACCTAAAACTAATTAATTGAATAATTAAAAGAAAAAAATATTTTTTAGCTTTTTAAGTCTTTAATGAAAATAAAATAAAAAGAAATTAAAAGTTGCCAAGAGAAAAACCCTAATTCTAATCTATTTTATTTATTGCAAAAATATTTAATATTAACCCTAATTAAACCAAATCAAATTATTAGTATTTATTTACAAAATAATAATTAATAGTGAAATTAATAAATAATAATAATAATAATAATAATAAAAATATTTTAGGTTTCTGAATTTATTATGAAAATAATTATTTATGAATTAATTAAATAATAATAATAATATTTATTAAAAGAAAATAAAAAGAAAGAAAATAATAAACCAGGGGGGTGTGTTGGCCCATTAGGAGGTTTGTCTGGAATTTCTGTGGCCCATCAAGCTATTCAACCACGTTGACCTTTGAAATTAGCTGTGCAAGCGTTGACTGAGGATAATGATGACTATCATCTCCTGGCCATTAGATTACTGCTTATAGACACCTGGCACTTGGGATGTGTGAGTCCATGATGGAACGCCTTTAAATGCCTGCATGCAATCACGTTATGAAAAATAATATAGAGCTTTTGGGGGACCTGGGAATCGAACCCAGGTCCCAATGATCAACATCCAGCGCACCATCCACTGAACCACTTGCCTGCATTTGTTATTATGGTAATAAGGAAATATAATATATCAAAATTAATGCATATGCTATAAGACAAAAAATGCGCGCGTTTTTTAAACGGACCAATGATACATCCACACATCATCGTCTTCTCCACTGAACCTGCAAAATTCATGTTAGATAGCGGGGGTTTTTAACCCCCACAAAGCAGAACGACCAAAAATAGCGAATAGCCCTACGCTAAATATAAATATGGCGCGATGGTCTCATTGTGTTCGTCTCGTTCCAACGGTTTCAACCATAGGCATTAGAGGTTCTAATTTTTCCTGGATAACAAAGCCCCAATTTGGAGGCTCAAGAACCCTAAATTTCTTCAATGGTGATTCACGATTCTGGGCATCATAATCCAATTAATTAATATCATTAGCTTTAGGTGGATGCAAGCAATACAAAACAAACCATAAATCACATCAAATGCTTATGAATCATGAGTTTCGATTATGGACAAAGTATGCAAACGGTGTGACTGTTTGGAGTGATTTCTTAAGCTTTAGCGTGTAATTTTGATTGCAAAAGGTCCCTGGGAGTTCCTGCAAGGTGTTAGAAACAAGAAAAAGCTTTGAATCACGTTAGAATGTGGAAATCAGTTTTCACTTTTCTTTGATTTTTCTTGAATGTGATTATGGTTTTTCTGCAGAGATTTCACGTCCATGGCATTAGGGTTGAGTTGTGTATATATAGGAGACTGAGTTTAGGTTAAATCCTTGAGCAAAGATCCATGGAGTTATGGTTTCAATATTTGATTTGCAATCACATCTTTTTGCATCTTTTTAATTGAGAAAACTTGCCAAACTTGGAGATTTTTGTCCCCTTGATGTGCACACGAATTTGCCAGCATATATTGACCACTTTTGCTTCACAAAAAGATTGAGAAATCAAATTTTTGTATTTCCTACATTTTAATTTAATTAAATGAATTAAAATTGATTAAAAATTCAAATAATTAAAAAAAATAAGAAAAATAAGTTCAAATAAGCTCAATGGGTCGTGCATAGGCCTTGGATAAAGTTTCAAGAAGAAATTTGAAGCCCATTAGCAAAAACAAGGTGTTTTGAGCAAAGTTGACTTTTGCAAATTCACAAAAATTTCCCAACTTCTCCAATGCATATCTTGCTCAATTTCGATCATATGAACATGTTTTTGGACATTTTGGAAAGTTCTTGAAGTCCTATAACCAATGCCTTTGGTCCCATGTCATTTGGATTTACCAATATCAAGTTATGGTCTTTGACTTAAAGTGCATTTTTGTTGACTTTTGAAATTGACCTATAATGTAGAAATTGATAACTTTTTGTGAGAGCATTTCTTGGACTTGGAATGTGAAGATTAGTTGTAGGAAATGTCATCCCCTTCAAAATGAGCATTGGATGGGATTTTTCTGATGAACCATGAAAAAGTTATGCCTTGGTCAAGATACAGTTGACTTTTCTACTGTCCAAAAATAGTAACTTTTTGCACCTTGATGATTTTTGAGCCATTCTTGTGGAATCATGATCAAGACTTGATCAAATGATGATTGTGTGCTAAAAATAATATGTTGACCAAAAATTCTGACTTTTGACTGCAAAATGACCATTTTACCCCTGTAGTTGACTGTGAAGCAAATGAAGCTTTTGACTGTGGAATTTGACCCTGTGAGTCTTGAGACTTGACATGTAGATGCTTGACAATGTATGTAGGCCTATGAGACTTGGTTGGACCCTTGAAAACCT